ATCCACCACCCCTTTGGCTCTATATAAGTTGCTCATGTGACATAAATTAGGTCTACACATTCCAAACCTATATACTATTGAAATGACCATTCAAGCATCTTGTTTCCTTGCCATCCATCCTCATAATTTTGCAATTTTGTTCACATCAATTTCACCTCACATTTTTATGTGTTATAGCCTTGATTCGTGATGTTTACAAGAACGATAGGGTTATGGGTTAAAAGAAACGAATGACCACTTTCATCTTGTTGTTTCTTTTGTATTTGGTATGCAGACGAAACTAAAAGTGCACAAAAAACCCATAATATGACTCGAAAAGGCCAAGGCTAGGCCTCAAAGCCCAACCAGACTAGAATTTTGGGGGGTAGGCCTAGGTCCGACCTGATGAAGTCAACCTGAATTTTTTAAAAATCCAGTTAAGTCCAAAAAACGCGGTTTGATAAAGCTCAATCAGGCATTTTTTCAATCCAAAATATTGGTTCGAACATTTTCTTCCTGACAAAAAGCGGGCTTGGACCCGGGCTTTGTACATCTCTAGATGGAACTGGGTTATATAAAAATGAACCGGACAAAACTGGATAGACAATAGTGAGGTAGGCAATAGGTCTATCTCCTTACCTACAGGTGTTATTGATTCAGAACTACTCAAGCTCCATCTCGTTTATTTCAAGCTCAAGCTTTTAAATAATTCTTAAGTTCGAGTTAATCTCGTATATAAAATAAAATTATTCAGCTTAACGAGTCGAGGTTCATAACACGATGTTTGATTCAACTCGTTCAAGAACTCAAGCCAATAAACATATTAAATGATCTTGAGTTCGAGTCCGTACGGAAGCTTATAAAGTAATAATTTTAGGTCTAATATACAACTAATTTGTTATTCGAGCTCAAGTCGAGCTTGAATATGCTATTATTTACTCGAGCCAAGCTCAAACAACCTGCTACTTGCTACTTGACTCGGCCCGTTAACCTTATTCGCAATGCTAGCACCAGAGCCGTTTATTAGCATGCTAAATCTTGGTTTTTGAACATGGCCCCAAAAATTTTGAGACCCAAAAATTTATTTGCATTTGGGGCACATATTTACATAGCCCAATCACTAACCTACCTCAAACAAGACCTATCTAATTTCTTTTAAAATCAAAAACTGCTATTTAATTTCAGAATTTACTGATAAAAAACAAAAACAACTCTTTGATATTCTTCTCACTTTGTCAATTTAGCCATATTTGTTGTTTTAATTTGTAAGAATTTTTAATATGATATGAAATTTTATATTTTATTTTGTTTATTACTCGTTTTATATAAGACAAATTGCGTGAAAAGTAATGTACTTTGACTTGATTCCTATTTTGGGTAACGTACTTTCAAAACTTTCATTTTGGTACCTAGGATGTAAAGTTTTAAACATTTAAGTACTCGGATAACCGATTGAAGCATTAACCGGTTACAATGCTGATGTGGCGAGTGATGTGGTATCCAACTAAGTATTATTTGCTGAATCATTAACCAGATACCACATCACTCGCCACTAGGGGTGCTCAAAAACCCGATGAACCCGACCAACCCAACCCGAATTTAAAAAAAAAAAACCCAACCCGAGGTAACCCGATGCATGATCGATAAAAAAATTAGCCAACCCGACCTTATTGGGTTGGAATCGGGTCAGGCCCAAAAAAACCCGACCAACCCGATGAACCCGACCTTAATTTTAGCTTTGAATTGTAGATGACAATCATGACATGACCAACCTCAACGTCAAGAAAGCGAAAGTATCTGGTTTGAAAACGTCTAAAACTATTGTTGTTGATTGATGTATTATCATTTGGTTTAAACATTTTTATTGTAATCTAAATATTTGATGAACTTGTATATTATCTTGAATGATCGGTCGTATTTCAAAGAAAAGTTTCATTTATTTTTATGTGATTTTACATTGTTTAAACACAATCCAATCAACCCGAACGGATTGAGTTGGGTTGGGTTGGGTTGAAAATTTTCAAATCGCCAACATTGGGTTGGGTTATTAAAATGGCTCCAAACCGATCAACCCGGGCCGTGAGCACCCCTACTCGCCACATCAACATGATAACCAGTTAATGTTTCAACTGGTTACCTGGATACTTAAACGTTTAAAACTTTACATCTTAGGTACCAAAATGAAAATTTTAAAAATATGTTACCCAAAATAAGAATCAAGTTAAATTAAGTTATTTTCTCATGCAATTTGCAGATTTTTAAAAAGATCGAGATGACACTTATTGCAACATATGTAAAAGAGATTCCCCGACAGCAAAGACCATTTAAAAAACAATTATGCTCATGCATTGTACTCTAGCTAAACAATTGGTAGTCCATTTAAGAATCATTGTGCACACATAAATCCACACCACTCAAACCACAATAATCATGCACATTCTGATAAATAAATCATTTTCGTTTCACATATAATTGCACATGGACAATATAAAATCTAACCGAACCCTTCACTGAACGTAATGCTTAATTGAATGTTCTTTACGTTTTTGTTATCGGGTACGAGATTTAATTCATCGGTGATCGCTAGACGACAGTCTAACAAGATCATTGAACCTTGTTCAAGAAATAGAAACTAGAAGGAAACATGAATCTATCTTATTGTGGGAAAATGTCCATATAATGATATGAATAAATAACGTAGGCAAATAGCCCTCGAGCGTGTAGGTGTGTAGCTCAGTTGGCAAATAGACAAAGCGACTTTGTTTAAATAGACAACAGGTTTGACTTTGAATTCTGCAGGAAATGGGCTTGAACCCCTCCGCTAACCTCAACTGTTGAGTCAGCTTTGAAATGTCTCCTTATATTTGGTTCCTAGGGGGCGGGTTCCATGTGGGTTCGACTGAGGTTGCTGGTAATCGACGTTTTGCTCAAATAATGCAGACAGATAGATAGATATCTCATATCTGTACACAACTATGTAATAATCAAATGAAAGAAAGAAGGATGAAGATTTGCAATATCTGTGGTAAGACGTCTCCAGTGCCATTACTAGCAACTTTGACTTTCTTTTTTTGCTGGGGTCTCATTGCAATAATAACAGTCCCAAAAAATGTGGTTACTTTCTTCTAGCAATCAAATCATCAAAGAGTTGATCTTTACCTAAACACTTACCCGGTAAGCGATTAACAATAAAATTCAACGCTATCACTTACATACCTGGTAAGATTTTAGTCTACCAAAACGACATCGTATGTAACAACTTACCCAGTAAGCGCTAACCATGGTAAGAGTTGTCGTCATCACTTACCGGATAAGACTCTTGGTTCTTGCCTTCGCTCTTACCGGGTATGATATTTGGTCCTTGCCATATTTCATCCAGTGAGGTAATGTGACTTGGTAAGCACTTACCCGAGTAAGCATTTGGTAAACGTCCCCTTACTGTTTATTAAATGTGTAAAAGTATCTCAAACTTTGTTAGATTACTCTTCAAAAGAGCCCTATAAGAAGTGGTCCAAGTTTAGCCAATGTAGGACTCTAACACGCCCCATCCAACAGAGGCTAGGCGGGGCAGATTGTCCCAAAGTGACAGAGTGTCAAGAGGAGGCTAGACAAGTACAAATTGCACCATAGTGGTAAACCGACTCTAATAACATGTGAGAATATGTGAAACCCTCCAACAGAGGAGGCAGGTGCAGATTATCCCAGAGTGACGGACTGTCGAGAGGAGGCTAAACGAGTATAGATTTCCCCTGAGTGTATAAACCGGCTCTGATACCATGTAAGAATATATGGAACCCATTACATTACTCTTCAAAAGAGCTCTTTAGGAGAAAAGGAAGCTTCCAACATATAATGAGAAATAATACAAGTCTAGCCGATGTGTGAATGACATTACTACGGGGTAAGATATGTTTCTTCAAAACTTGAAGGTTATGGGATCGAGTTAAGGGCCGATCATATGTGCAAATTGCGAAAGGAAAGATTTTCGAAGCTAGGGGGATCTTGATGCAACCTACAGTAAAAGAACAAGCCATGATGACTACAACGGAAAAAACCAAACACACGAACTAAACCTGGCAGCTATTTCTACGTTTTTATCGATGAAAATGGTATGTGGACGAGATTGAGCATGTGGCGTTATGAAAGGGAAAGGTAACTTTACAATCATCTTGATCTAAGCCCTATGGTCTCTTTCACAATGGTTTGCAGCTAATTTGAACCACTGCACCACATGTTTTGACACCCTACCAAATGAAACCACTTTTAGAGAATGGGCACATGCTCTCTTGTATGATACATAACTAGAGAATGGGCATTGCTTTCTTTTTATTCCACACACTTCTCACAAGCCCGTAGGTCTTCACCGAAACCGTCATTCTACTCATTGAGAGTAGAGTTCAGGTGTAAGTACATCTTAACCCCTTAGAACCCACCTTCAGGTGGGTTATACCGAGTTCGTTTGATTTATAATTGTTAGAGTCCTACATCGGCTAGACTTGGTCCATTTCTTCTCTTTATATGTTGGAACCCCCTTCCTTTCCTCAACGACTCCTTTAGAAAGTAATCCAATAGGTTTTCACATATAATATCACATGGTATCAGAGTAACGTCTACCACTATAGGAACTCGACACGTTAGGGCAATTTGTACCTATCTAGCCCCTTCTCGACACTATGAGACAATCTATGCCCATTCACCCTCTATTGGAGGGGCGTGTTAGAGTCTCACATCAGCTAGACTTGGACTATTTCTCCTCTATATTTTGGAACCTCCCTTCTTTTCTGAAAGGCTATTCTGAAGATTAATTTAATGGGGTTCCATATATTCTCACAATAATCGAGGGATACAGATAGGGATAGGGGTAGGGGGACAAAAGAACCAAGAACCATGTCATTCAACAAATGCACAAATGTAAGGTTTAATTGATGCCCACTTTGAGGGGAGGAAAGGAAAGGAAAGTCACCTTTCCTTTTTCTCTCATTTCATTTTCTTCCACATAATTCTTTTATTATTATTCCTTGGGATTCCCCAAGTCAACTATCCTCAACTTCAAGATGCCTGATTACTATACTATATAAATGTGTAAATCACTAGTACCAATCATCATCATCACATCCTCATGTAACAAAAAGGCAAGGACTACAGTTGATTGAGTTCTAAAACAGGTTGGCCAGAAGCCTAAGACCACAGTCACAGTGAGAGATGGACCATGAAGCACCAGCCACACCAGGGACCCCAGGGACTCCAGGGACACCAGGTGCACCACTCTTTGGTGGATTCAAGCCAGATAGGAGCCATGGAACCCATGCCTTCAGAAAATCTCTTCTCAATAGCTTCAAGTGTTTCAATGTTGAAACCTTGGCCACAGAAGAAGGCACTCTACCTACTGTCACTTGTTACTTACCCCCTCCCCCCATCTCTCTAGCAAGAAAGGTTTGTTTTACTTTCTGAATGTGTATCAGAATCAAAATGGGTATTTGTTAGTTGTTATTATATTTTAATTTGTAATTTGATTTGGTTAAAGTTATGGTAACAGGTTGGAGCAGAGTTCATAGGGACCATGATACTGATTTTTGCAGGGACAGCTACAGCCATAGTGAACCAACAGACCCAAGGGTCTGAGACTCTGATTGGGCTAGCCGGCTCCTCTGGACTTGCGGTCATGATTGTCATACTATCTACTGGTCATATCTCAGGAGCCCACCTCAATCCATCCATCACTATAGCTTTTGCAGCCCTCAAGCATTTCCCATGGAAGCATGTAAGCCTATAACCACCACCACCCCCTAACGTTAAATGACCTTCTGTTATATTGTTTTTAAATCCATAACGTTCCGACAGGTTTGAGAACGCCACTGCTTAATAGAATAATGGAAACATGTCAGAATGTCTTGGTTTTTGAAGGGGATGTCATTTAGCTAAATAACCCACCTCCCTCTGGGGCTGGTTCTATTAGGAATCCAGGAACCACACACAACGCAACACATATTATTCATCATGAATAGCACTTTCATATGCATCATGAATGTGTTATTCATCATCCATTGTGAATTGTGATTCACGATGAATAACATTTCCACATTCCTCGTGAATGTGTGATTCACGATGAATAACGCTACCACATTCATCATGAATGTGTTATTCATGATTAATATTCAATCTAAAGAAAATTGTGGGCAGTTCCCGAGTTCCTAATCAATTATGGGTTCTTGACGGAACTTCCATCACCTCCCTCTTATCATACATTGGTATGAAAATCTATATGTATAACTAACTAAAACTAACTACAGTTGTTCAATTATGGTGGTGGTTGGGTAGGTGCCGGTGTACATAGGGGCACAGGTGTTGGCTTCAATTTGTGCAGCTTTTACGTTGAAGGCGGTATTCCATCCAATGATGGGAGGGGGCGTGACGGTACCTTCAGTAAACTATGTACAAGCTTATGCTTTAGAGTTCATTATCACCTTCAACCTCATGTTTGTGGTCACTGCTGTTGCCACCGACACTAGAGCTGTAAGAGCCTTTTTCTTCTCCTTTTTGGTTGTTTTACCTTTTAACTCTATCTTTCACTCCATACCCACAAAAAACCAAAATACCATTAATATCTAGAATACCATTTAATGACAATATTGAGTAATATTAATTAAAATATCATTTGCCAACCATAGTAATAGATGTCCACATGTAGTATAGTATTCAATTATTGTAATATAATGAATGCTAGATCCAAGAGAAGGGCACATGAGTCAATGATAAAAGTTGAAACTTCAAGTTCTTGTTCCAGTGACCATCAAATATATATACATATACATATATATACATATATCTTAACTAACTCATGGTGAGCCAAATGCCTGTTTTTATATTATTATTTCCTCCATCCAAAAATAGATGTCTACGGTGAAAATGACACAATTTTAGGAATGTGTAATTATTACACTTTTTAAATAACTAAATTACACTTTTACTTTTGATAATAAAGAGAGAAACTTTCTCCATCTCATAATAAGGGTAGAATGGGAAAGTGAAAATTTACTTGTGAAAGTGGACGCTACTTATCTTGGGACAAACTATAATAGAATTGACGACACTGAATTTGGGAGGGAGGGATTATTGTTGATGCCAATTTTGGACTGTTCCTGATCATATAGTTCAGGAGTGTCCACAATGAAAAACAAAGTTTTAGGAATGCATAATTATTATACTTTCTAATTAACTAAATGACAATTTTACACTTCATAATAGAGAGAAATTTTCTCCAATCTCATAATTAAAGGTAGAATGGGAAAGTAGACATATATCCTTGAAAATGGATACTTATTATGGAACAAACTAAAATAAAAATCTGGACATTTATTTTGGGATGGAGGAGTAATCAAGTTTGAATTTGGAAAGTATCATCCAAAGTCAAGTCTTTTGGGGATTCGAGATATTTCTTCTAGAAATGTCTTCATATATAGGTTCTTATACTATTTGTTGCAGTTGACATCAACTAGACTCGGACCATTTCTCCTCAATATATGTTGGAAACTCCTCTCTGATCAACTGCTCTTTTAAAGAGTAATTTAATAAGTTCCACATACTCTCACAATATTACTACAAAATGGCCTATGGGATTCTAAAAGCATATGCATGAACATGGACAAAGTTTGTAAGGTTCACTAGAGGGATTTCGGGTGGATATCATTCTCGATTAGGAATGAAATAATTGCAACAAGATTCTCATTTCACCACAGGTTGGCGAACTGGCGGGAATAGCTGTGGGAGCAACTGTCATGCTCAATATTCTCATAGCTGGGTACAAAACTGAACTTTTTTCTACTGTCATTCTTCATGTCTTATAGATAGTACTCACCATGTTAAAAACTTCGAGATATCCTTTCACGTTTAGAGTGAAACAAGTTCTAATTAGCAACGACAAGCATTCTACATGTAACTAGCTAATAAGCGTGTTGAAGAATTAATTGGAAAAAATAAGGGGCGTAATAAAAGAAGTGGAAAAAGCCCCCGAAGCTTAATAGAAACGCTACTTGAAATAGCTTTTCGAAAAGCTAGCTTATAGCAAACCAAATGAGATTTTTTCAATAAGCCAACTTATAGTTGTCAAACATGACCCAAGTCAGTAAAATTGGCACAATATTCAACTATCATGTATATGAATTCAACAGATTCCTAGACACCTATGAACATCGAAGGATTGTTGCAGCTATTTTTGAAGTATATAATATTTAGTATAAACTACGTTTTTCTTCCTTGTGGTTTGTTAAAAATTGGTTTAGAAATTGCGGATTTTGTCCCTGTGGTTTGTAATTCATTACTTTTTTCGTCCTTATGATTTACAATTTATTGTTGTTTTGGTCCCTATGGTTTACAATTCCTTACTGTTTTGGTCCCTTGTACTTAAGGGTAGGAATTAGTCTAGGGACGAAAATTACAATTTCTAAACCACAAGGACAAAAATAGTAATTTACTCTAACATTTATGTAAGGCAAATACTCACAGATACTCTTCACATCTGTGTTGTGTGCTAGAAACCTTTTTTACGAAGGAAAGGAGAGGAAGCAAGGGAAAGGGAGGAAAGTAAAAAGAACTCATGTTCTTGAAACTTTTTTAGGAGAGAAAGGAAAGGAAAGTGAAGGAAAATAATGATAGATAACATATTTCCTCCCAAAACTTTCCTCCCAAACGTGGGAGGAAAGGGAAGGAAAGTAAAAAAATTAAAACCCTTTAAAAATCTATTATAATTATAAAATTACCCAATTTTTTATTCTAATGGATATATTTTTAAAGGTTATATTAGTAAAATGTCATATTTCCTTTCCTTTCTCTCATTTTCAAGAATACGGAAAACTATTTTCTTTCTTTTCCTTTCCTTCATTTCCTTCCCTTCTCGAGAACACAAATAAAAAAATGTTTTCTTTTCTTTTTTTTATTTCCAAATTCGAGAACACAACGTTAGTGAGGTTTTGAACCCTTGACCTCCTAGGAGGCAGGGCTCTATCAGTAACCTAGGTACTATTGTTCATGAACTGATACCTTGTTGTTGGTATAGGCCACTCACAGGAGCCTCAATGAATCCAGTAAGAACTCTGGGACCAGCCATGGCTGCAAACAACTTCAAAGGCATCTGGATTTACCTTACTGCTCCCATCCTTGGTGCACTAGCTGGTGCAGGTATTTACACAGCAGTGAAGCTGCCTGAGGAAGATGGCAGTGATCCTAATAAGCCTCCACAACATAGCTTCAGAAGATGATCAAGAACCCATGTCAAACCACCACTGGCCGCCACTGCCATGCCTACACCGATAAGACCACATAATCACCATTGAAGTCCCAGCAAATGCAATATCAGATACAACTGGGATATGGAAATCTGATGGGTACATATCATTTATACTAATACATGGAATAGTTGTATCTAGAGTCTTGACAATGGCATAAATTAATGATAGAACTTCATGTGAAAGGTGATTTAGGGTTTCCATCTTTGGCATAATAAGGAATTAAGTTATAATGTTTGTGATGGATGGAGAAAGAAGTATGAAATTGTTGGTAGTATGTTGCGGAAACTGTGTTGAAGTGAATCTAATGGGGTTGCACTTTCTTACATGGTAGAGTGTTAGAAAGTAGGGTAGTAGAAGGAGCAATAGATGCCCCAGGATTACACTTTCTTACATGCAGCAAATCAATGATTAGGACTTGAAATTCAATATCCTTAGGATATTTTAGCCCCCAATATCAAGGTTGTTTGGATTTTAGGCTAAAATACCCCCCAAGATTGCCTAATCAGATGAGGTATATTCAACAACAAAGGTATCTCATATGAACAATTTCTGCAGATTTGTATGAAGAGAAAGGAGAGGACTAAGTGATGTGAAAAAATGAGATGTTACATATATATAGGCTTGTGTCGATAACTAACTTGCATAAGAAAAAACTGACAAATGATTTTATCCAAATCAAAGAATTTGAAAAAACCTGTCAAAAACAAAATACGTCAAAAAGAGCTTAGGCGACTTCTCTGGCGGGTTAAGTCGCATTGAACATTGTTCTCATGCACATATCACAAGACCACGCGAGTTTTCCGGCTAGCTAAGTTGCATGGAAACTCGTGTTACACACTGTTTACAGAACACAAAAAATCAGATTTTTGGGAAATCGCACACACACAACGTGCTAGTGCTATCTCTTGACTGTTTAATATATGTGTAAAATTCCCACAACAAGGGACAAATCCTCCTTAGCTCACTTGATCTGTTAAACAACTCTACAAGTTGTTTAAAGATTATAAACTAAGGAAGATACCGATGTGGGACAACTGATATGCCTAAAACTCATATATCTAGTTCACCAATACAAGATTCTACTATTCTTTCTATGTGGGACAAAACCTCAGAATGAATCACACTACCAAGACTATATATACAACAATCATAGTCAAGGTTTACCACTCTAGGATACAGGGTAATCTATACCTTGTATAGCCCCCTTTCGACACTTTATGCCCCTCTAGCCTCCATTAAAAGGGGTGCGTCGGAGTCCCACATTTGCAAGACTTGCCCTTTCTACTTAATATATGATGGTACCTCCATTTTCTCTCAGAGAATCTATTGGAGAGTAATATAATGGAATTCCACATATTCTCGCACCTTGTTTTCAGGATTGACAGAATAAAGATCACATCTCTCTTCTTAAAGCATATACAATATAAATTTATGACTCTGATTGATAAAAGAAACCTAAAAATCACCTCTCTAGTGACACAAGCAAAGAGAATTTTGAACATGAAGTTTAGCAAATACTTAGCAGTTTGCGCTAGTAAAGAAGACCGATTTTTTCGTATTAGTAGCCTCCATATAACTCTATCCCCATATATTTAGAATGCTCCCCTTGAATTTAGAGGAGTAATCTCCACTGTTGATGTAAATTGATATTCGCCATACATTCATCGTCAATTCGAGCCTCATTAGGCCACGAGGGATTTTCTATTTGTTATTTGTAATCCCATAGGATCAGTCGAGGTACACGCAAGTTGACCCAGACATTCATGATTTAAAAAAAAAACAGGGTGCATCAACATGTTCATTTAAACGTAATGATATTTATTGGTGAGTACCAAAGACACTAGGGAATGGCAAAAAAACCGATACTTAGAACCCAATAAGATCAGGAATGGGGATATCTCTCAACCCCAAGCCAATATTAGTCATAAATTTTTATGTATAATAAATACAATAATAGAATGAGAAACCGAATTAGTATATATAATATATAAATATTATAAATCTTCGATGATGGAAATTTGTATAAAGAATTTAATAATTGGTTTGATTGTTGTGAAAAACATTTGGTAATATAACAATGTAACTTAATAAATTTTCATTTATTAAGTATTGTAATTGATGTATTTGTGTTTGAGCTAATGTTTCCCTTATACAAATACAAATATATAACAATCAAATTTGGTTGATTAAAAGTTCTATATATAAATATAGGCAGATAAAGGGAGGTTTAAATCAGAGCAGTAACTAAATAAAAAACCTGCAAAATGTCAAATATGTGCAAAATCACATGTAATTTTTATACTAACGGTCAACGTAAAGGTGTGCGGAAGACGTGGCCCATGACCTAATGTCGCGGCCAAAGTCGAGTATATCAAATGTGATTTTAGCGGTGATTCGACCGTTTTCTTATTCTCTTATTTGATTACCATTCTCGTATGAACCTGATTCTAGACGAGAAAAAACCCCTTCCCCGGTAGGGAGTCCTGTTCCCGAACGGGCCATTGTTAGCAAAGGCTAATAGAGGCTCCAGAGAGTCATTGCAGTTACAGGTAACAATTTGGCCATATTGAACCATTCTACAGGAGATATAATCAGGTCAATTCGCCTATTAGCCTTTGAATCCTTTTCTATTCTTTATCCCCTTTATTTGCCCACCGCAAATCTCTGTTTAAGAAACTGAAGTTCCATCGAGGTCAAAACATTAAAATCGATGCAAACTTGTCCAATTGGACATTGAATCGTTTTCTTATCAAGTTTAAAGCAGTCATATAAATGAAAAAAACTGTACGCAAGCTTACCGGAACATATGAAGGAGATGGCAATGGAAGACGAAGCTAATCAAATGATTCCAATCGTACTTCAGGAGTCGAAACATTGCAGATTTCAACCAGACTAAAACTCGAAATTATACCAAAGAACACTGTGCCCTACATTTGAATATATCTGATTAGCAATTTAGCATCAACAAACAGTATTACAGTGGAAACGATCACAACACAAGAAGAATACGATCCTCTATTTTGATCAGCAAGAGACTAAGAATTCGATTCGATTAGGCAACGAGAAACTGAGATCGAAAAAATGAGACCTGTCGTGAATCAAATTGCCTCCAACCTCGAGCATCTCCTGCCTTGTTGACGTTGTGGAAACGGAATGACTCCGAGCGGGTGATCGCACATGATAAACAGACGATCATTTTTATTAGAGTAAATTATGATTTTAGTCCTTGTTCTTTTTGAAATTTTCACTTTCATCCCTACAGTTTGTAATTTGTTGCAATTTTTGTCCCTGAGACTAGAGTTGTTCATAGGCGATATCACCCGCTCGGCCCATTAGAAAAGCAGGCTTAGATAATCAGAACTCGGACAAGCCCGTCCAGGCTGTTAATTATTATAGTTGATTAAATTTTGTATATAATTAATAATTTACGGGTTTTTATTAAAAATAATTAGAAGTGACTTTAGGTTGGATTCCTTCTACTGAGTACCAATCATCATTCATATATATATATATATATATATATATATATATATACACACTAGTTGTGTACCCATGCAATGCGGCGGGAGCCGGAAATTTTAACAATTTTGAAGTTTCACTGGTTTTATTAGAGAAGATTTAACGATGATATGTTACACTTGGTCTTTATATATTGATACAATTTGAATAAATAAAAATTATGGATCCAATTAGAGTCTATCGATGAAAAAAATTGTGTGACAGATTAAAATCCAACATATTTAAACGACTCCACAAATGTATTCGATTTACACCAATAGAAAGAATCCAGAGATCGAGAACGAGACCGAGAGTTCTAGAGCAATTGAATGGGAGATGAATGAGAGAACTTTTAATAACTCATGGTGAATATCAGTTTGAATCTCACCTTGGGCGATGGGGAGAAGACATAGAGGTATGAGAGGGTGAAGGCATGAGTGAAATGTATCAAAAGTATTTTGGGAACATGAAAAGAAAAGGCAATAATGTGCATTGGTAACTTGTACTGTATGTTATTTTAATTGTAGATTAAGATATTTCAAGACTGAATGCATAAAATAGTAGTACTTAATGCATTATGAGTTGTTTTAAGACTTTTAAGACTTTAAGCATAAATGTATAGTACTTTGTGCATTAAAAATTGTTTTTAAGACTTTTGATAAACCTAGTTTATAAGGTAGTATATATATATGATATGATATGTTATATAATACATCTCGAATTTCGATCTTGAAATATTAGGTGGATAAATATTTTGTTATTGAAAAAACATGGACTTTAAAAGTTGATAAATCATTAGAGAGAAAATGCTCATATTCCATACCTTGTGAAACTATTTGTTTCATACGCTATGTATATTGATATTTTTACGTCTTATTTTATACTCGAAAAAACTTATTTAAGTTAAATGATTTTAAATAACTTATGATTTATGTAACTTTTGTTTTTCAAATGTAAAAAAAATAAGTCTTTTAGTTCGTGGGCAAGCTCGGCCTGTTTATAAGACGGTTACAGACAAGTCCATAAGCCTATAAAAACGGGCTTATGTTTGCTATATTAAACCCGTTGGTCATAAAAAAAATGTTAAACCCATCCCCGGACCAAGTCCACAAACAATCGCCTCTACCTGAGACTAAAGGGTTGCTTACCGAACACTTAATCAATATCACTTACCTTCTTGAGAAGACTCTTACCCGGTATGACGTATAACAACGACCAAGACTCTTATCCGATAAGTGAGTGAGAAGACTCTTACCTGGTAAGCGCTCATCAGGTAAAAGTTGTTTACCAACAATTCATTTTGATGGTTGATGATGTTGTCCAATAAGGTAAATGAAGATGACGCTCTTGCGGCTTAGCGCTTACTCGGTCAGTATTTACCAAGTCACAACACCTTTATTGGACGAATATGATAATGATTGAGAATTGTATTCAGTAAGAATAATGACAAAGGATCAAGGGTTTTATCTGGTAAGAGATGGTCACGACTCTTACCTTGTTAGCATTTATCGGGTAAATTGTTGCATATGATGCCCATTTTAATGGGCCAAAAAACTTATCTGGTAAGATAGGTGATAGTGTCGAAGCTTACTTGTAGGTGCTTACCAAATAAGTATTTGGATAAACGACCCTAATTCATGTTCTTGAGTATGAGGGACGAAAAATATCAATAATTTGTGAAACACGAACATAAAAATAACCATAAATCATAAGAATGAAAAAAAACATTAAATTATAAACC